GTGGGAAAATGAGCAACTGATATTAAGGGCTAAAGTAGAAGGCAAATGATTTGAGAATGATGAGGGCAACAGGTGTACATATGTGCTTGACAAAATGGATGTATGTATGGACTGTGATAAGAATTGTAAGAGCCCCAAATAAAATAATTTTTTTTTAATTATTGCTACTGATATTCAAGAGGACATTTGTACATTTGAAATAAGAGACCTAAAAAATACTAGATGAATGAGATTTAAATTGTTTGCTGAAAGTGCAGCTACAACTATCCAAACACAGATATCTGTATCTGTTGCTATATTAAAAATACACCGGATGAGTTCCAGGCAAGTTGGAAATAAAGAAACGGTAGGCTAGGCTATCACTCACCATTAATGGCAAACACTGAGAGTTGAAAAGGAGTCCTGCTGGTATAGTGGTTATGTGAAGGGCTGTGATGTGTAAGGTCAATAGCTCGAAACTCCCAACCACGCCAGGGGAGAAATAAAGGGCTTTCTACTCCCTTAAAGAGTTAGTCTTGGAAACTGACAAGGACAGTTCTATCCTGTCCTCTAGGACCACTATGAGTTGGCATTAACTCCAGGGCAGTGAGAGAAGCATTAAAAAGCATTTCAAATAAACTCTCGCTCCATGTTTCCTCAGTTCTACTTTAACTTATTTGGTAGGGTTAATGCTTCACAGCTTTAATACCTTTAGTTTCCGTTCCTAGATATTTTTTATATTTTAGCTGATGGTCATCATAATTTAATAAGGTTATATTATGAAAAAGTATATTCTTGGCATACTGTTAAAAGTTACCTTTGGATCAAAAGACCCCTTGTTTTTAAAAAGAAGTTCTTCAACACTCCCTCTTATTTCCTTTGGAATATTTCGTGCATCAAAAGTTGCAATATCTTCTCTCACACCTCTTTTTGCAAGGAAACTAAAATTAAAACATATGATTTCAAAAGAAGGAAATAAAGTTGTGATTTGGAGGGGGAAATTTTAACAAAATGATGCATGCAGCACCTTATTCCATTAGCTAGAAAAAGAATACTAAAAAATTTAAACTGCTATTATACATGCTATTCCCATTTAAACAAAAAATCCAATAAGTACAAACATGAAAGATGAGCAATAGTTATTCAAATTTTCTGTGAGAAAACTGTGACAAAATGAAATTACAGAAGTACAAGTCCTATAATCTATCCATAGTCCTTCTGGTGAACTATTGGACACTACTGGGCATGTGCAACAGGATATTCCAATGCCTACAGTATTTTTATATCTAAAATCTATGGAAGGAAAAAGTGCTCACTCATCTTTAGTCTCCTGCACAAACCTCTCCGTGTGCAAAGGACTTTTCGCTATCAATTCGGCCCTAAAATGGGATTTAATATCAGTTCCAACAACAGCACCACTAGTGAAATGTGAAACCTCAACGCGCACGTTTATGTAGACTTAATACTCAGCATGCCTCCGCCACCTCACATCTTTCTTGTCTTATTTATGTATGCTTCACTCTCTCAGTCAAGAGGACAAGAATCTCTGAAATAGTGACGGCATTTTCTTCCTCCATAAATTCCAGTAAAATCACAGAGCTCTGTATTACACGAGGACCAAATAAATGAAGAAACGCAGCGAGCATTCACAGACATTCCCTTTCTCCTTTTAGGTGCTTTGAGAGCAGTATCTTTCATGGAAAGATATCATGAAAAATTAATTTTGAAATTTCAATACAAAATGTATTACAGACTCCTAGATAAAATTCAGTGTGAGAAACAATGTAAACAATATTTTTAAAATGATGACAGAACACATATTTCATTGCTGAAATAACATGTTTTCAGAAATTCAAAAACTCACCTCTTCATGCTCACCCAAGATGTATCAAAGATGCCCATTAACCTCAAGACTCCTTCTAGAATGTCCCTGATGACATCGGGCGGCATACGCAGTGAGCGGATTTCTGAAAGAGACTCGGGCTTAATGTTTCCGACTGCTAGTTTGGCTTCATTAACTAGAGGCTGGAAGAGAAAACGGATATTTTTTGCTTTTATGGTACTTGAAACATTTCATGCAGTTCAAATGCTCTAATATTGATTTTCAGTTTA